CATACCAGAAAGGCATCACTAAAACAGTGTCACATACTGAAAGGCAATGCTAAATCAAGTCAGAAAGACAATACTAAAATATATTAGAAAGGCAATACTAAAACAGTGTCACTTACAAAAAGGCAATACTAAAGCAAATTAAATAGGCAATACTAAAACATAATATGAAGGTAATACTAAAAAGTGTCACTTGCTGTCACTTGCAAAAAGGTAATACTAAAACAAACTAAATAGGCAATACTAGAACATATTAGGAAGGTAATACTAAAACAGTCTTACTTGCAAAAAAGCAATACTAAAACAAATAACGTTCCCCGCGTGAGCACCAGGAGTGCTGGGCAAGACTCCACAAAGGTGAAATGTGGGTAGCACTGTAGGTAGCATAACCCACAGGAGATCTACCTACAATAGAACCGATGAATTTATGAACTAATACCACGAGACTCTGCACTGTATCGCATTCCTTCTATACGTACACCAGAGTTGACTCGTTAAACAATAGAAGCACGTCATGCAATAGGGATTCGTTAATTGGTGAAGGATCATAAAAGTTTGGGGTTTTGGGGTTTTGAGTTTCAAAGGTTAGTTTAAATCTTTCACTGGCTATTGACAGTACTCAGTAATTGACAATAGTTAGTTGTGCGATGCTTGGCGTTTCAAATACTATGAGACGCATTAAATGGTGAAAGATCAACACAAAAGTACTGGGTAACTTAGTTTCAAAGGTGAGTTAGAATCTTCCACTGGCTATTAACAGTACTCAGTAATGAGCCGTTGATTGTGTGAAGGTTGGCGTTTCAAAGACTACGAGACGCGTACAATACTTTCGATCCGGACGTGTGACGAATGCAGCCGTGGCAGAATGTGAGAGCGCAAGCCAGACTATACATATCACCAAGTGAAGGGTTTCACCATCATATACATCGCAAACACGTAAACGCTATCGTTTAAGTGAAGGAACACACCATCAGATGCATTGCAAATACGTAAACGCTATCATTTAAGTGAAGGAACACACCATCATATACATCGCAAATACGTAAACGCTATCGTTTAAGTGAAGGAACACACCATCATATACATCGCAAATATGTAAACGCTATCGGTTAAGTGAAGGAACACACCATCATGTACATCGCAAATACGTAAACGCTATCGTTTAAGCAAGCTACTAAAAATCGAGGCCTCTCCTGCTACATTAAGTCGGACAAAGGCCGTCAAAACAATTACGTATGTATGGAAGAATACAAGTTCCCCTAAAACAATCACTTGTATGCCACTGGGCCCAAGATTTTTAGGCATTCACCTCCAAATGGGGGGTTTGATGACTGGATCGCTTCATCAGCCACTATATATATACTCACATATATACATATACACACATGAAGTGTAATGGAGTGGAAGTGATACTATTCTGTGTAACAGCTCCGAGTACACATCAAAATTCAGAACTGACGTTGAGAAGGCGAGCAGGTCTCCACCTCTCAATACACTACAGAAACAAACCAAAACCCTGCTTCGAAACTGGCTTATCAGCGTGTGCGTTCTATACGCTTGTCCCCAGCTCTGCCACAACTATCCTCAGCACCGCTAACTTACTTTGATCAAAGAGGCCTTGCGGTAATAGCACCAAGTATCTTGGTTCGCCGCCTAAGGGGATACTCCATACATCACATACATCACACGTACGCGTTTCTTTGCGCCTTGGTCTGGTACTGTCATATTGAATGTTCATTCATTGATTTCCACTACATTTAAAATAAATAAAAACTAAGTTTATCTTTTCCCACTTGACGAGCTCATCTATTCGCATTGCCAGTGCTAAGCGACAGACAACTCCTCACAGCTTAGCTATCCTCATCGGCACACTCGAGTGCACCCATAAAACCATGCAGAGGGCCTTATCGTCACCGATACACAACATGGTCCACAGAACGTGTCCGGTGCAGCAGCTGTCGCATCTTTGCCCCTGAACTCTGTGCTTCTGGTACCGTTAACCCATCCGTAATGCCCTCCATAGCATCCAGCTCGAGCGTGCCCATCTCACTGGGTGCCTGGAGAACCGAGGTGATTGATCTCAAGGCCGTTGCCAGTTCATAGGCTTCACAGGTCTTCGTCCGTTCCCCCCCACTCGCCCCAGACACATACCGGGCCAGGCACCGTACGATGAAGCTACGGTACTGTCTGATACTGTGCGTCGAGATCTCACGCTTCGGTTTGAGTTGGAGTCTACGCTCTATGAAGTTCGGGTTCATCACCAGGCTGCCGGTCTCCGCAAGGGTATAGCACGTGCCCACGTGCTTGTACGTATTCAGAAACGCCGTACCGGCTATCTTGGGCGGGAGTGCGGTGATGGGATCTCCATCGTTCACGATTCGGTAAGTATTCGGAATACGTTCGTTGTAGAGCCAGGCGTACTGGTGATTGCCCACGCGCGGGCTGCCAAACGTGTACACCGTCAGGGCGAGTTCCGCGCCCGCGAAGACTCGACTGAACTCGTAGGCGCACAGGGTCGCCAGCGCTCCGCCCAGCGAATGGCCGGTGATGAATACGTGAAACGGGTTGTGCACTTCATCGAGATCTGTGCGTTGTACCGGTATCTGGGCTGTATACGTTGTCTCGTTGCTGTTGTTTGGCTCGGATGGCTCATATCCCGAACACACCTCAGGCATATCGTATACGCGTTTACCTGTTTCGGCGTGTTTCGTGTTGTTTAATCCCGATCCGTCATAAGATTTGAGTCCGGTATCGGGTTCGAAAACCACACTAAATGGGGTCTCGTTCCCCAAATCGGGTGCGCTTTGCGACTTGCGCCTGTTATATATTCTAAGTCCGGTATCGGATCTAGGTTTGCAAAACCCTAAAAACGGGTTTAGGATAATACTCGTCCGCTCCCTCGCTCCAGCTGCTGCACTTGTGCCCTGTATGTTCTCCATGCTACTTGCGGGCGTCTTCATACAGGCCACCTCCACGGCATAGTTGTCCTTTTTTGCTATGCACCCGCCCTTATTTATAGTATTCTGATGCATCTCCGATACATATCCCCTCGGTGTGGGCCCATTCGCATGTGTATTTGTCCGGGCCTCGGTTAATGCTGAGACATATCCGTCCTCCATTGACACACGAGCCGTTGTCCCAGATGGGTCTTGAGGGGGGTTTCCTGAGTAAGTACACAGACTCTCTGAGCCACCCACCCCCTTATCATTACCTGGCCCACTACAGCATTCTAAGGACATATCACCTGTCAGATTCTGTGGGCTGTACAACGTCTCGCGGTCACCCCTCGGCATCGCGTGTGCGGTAGGGCACTTCTCAGACCCACCGACGTGTGCCGTAGATGCGGCCCCTACTGTAGAGGCGGTGGCGTTGAGTATACGGTGTCGACGCTCTCTGGGCACAACGTCCCGAGACTCGGTCATATATAGGGCCATTTCTTTCCGAGTCTCCGTCTTATACGAGGCCATTTGTTTCCTAACCACATCCAACACGCGCACGCGCACCGACTGATAGGCCGTCAGAAAGCCCCGGTGCACCAGCAGGTCCTTCGTGCGACACTCCGACCACCGCTCACACGTGTGCTTGTGCCAGATCTTGTTCACCGTCCCACACGTACTGGCACAGAGGGGGATCAGATTCGCCTGCATATCCGTCATGGCATTGCCCGAGGACTTGGTCCCTCTGAACGACACCACCAACTCGCCCTGCTGCCTGAACACTACACAGTGGGTGTCTGTGCGCGCGTCGCTGATATACGCAACTACCTCGAACTTACCGTTGGCGTCCTCCTGCACCGCCCGTGCTTCTGTGGCCCTGGGCACCTCTGCCCTGGACATCTCTGCCCTGGACATCTCTGCCCTGGACATCTCTGCCCTGGACATCTCTGCCCTGGACATCGCTGTGTCTATATCCTCTCCATTCATATCTGGTGGCCTCCGGGGACCATGTGCGTCACACTCTGCATTCCCATCGGTGCGTCCGTTATCGACCGAATTGCCGCTGGTGTCGTACCTCTCTACATCTACACGTGTGTGATGGACCTGTTCGCTGTCATATGTGTTTCTCCGTCGGGTGCAGCTACCTTCCCGTTCTACCCAAGTCTCCTCACGTCTGTCTCGGTCAGTCTGCTGTGCTGGTGTGTAGGTCTGTGCGGTTGCTGGTGTGCTTGTTTGTTGTGTGTTTGTGTGTGGGTCTGATGGTGCGTGTATCTGTGAACGCGTGCCCCCCTCAAGCGCCTCGGGTACTATTGGCTCCAGTAGTGTGTGTGCAGCGTGTGGGCTGATAATTAGCGTCTGTTGCGCAGAGCTGAGATTTGGCCCCAGGGGCATATCATAACTGTATAGGCGTGGCTGTGAACCTACTAGACCCTTCTCCGATAAATTCAGACCCCCTTCCGACACATCAGGACTTATTTCCATCGGATTAGAATCCCGTGATACCACAGGAATCAGTTCAACACGCCCAGTACCCTCCCTGAATTCCCCTACTCGGGTCGGCCCGCGAGGCGCATTCCCGAGGTGCTCCGCGACTCCAGGAGCACATTCCAATGATCCACCATCAGCACGGATTGGCTGGGAAAAGTCAGGCTTCGAGACCTTCTCAGTCGACACCACGTGCGTACAAACGTTCTTGCGGGGGTTGGCTATACTCGTTGAGATGTATATATCGTCTGCTACATCGCCTGCAGAGTGTGTACTGGGTATGGGCTTGTACTTGTAGGCCAGACGACTACCTGCACACATCCAGTGCATGGTATAGAGCGAGAACTCGCCGTGCACATGTGTACTGTTGGTCAGCAGTCGCACCTGGAATTGGATACAAATGTGAACATGTGAGGGAATAAATGTAAATGTATTGGATATATGTAGGGATGTATGGCGATATAAATGGGTAATGTTCATTACTATTGCATACAAGGTGTGCACATACTCTAGGACATGCATGGATATCAATGGGCGAAATCTATGCACACACATCAACACATACACACACACACACCCACACCCACCCACACACACATATACATATATATATACTATATATAATATATATACATACATACATACATACATAC